TTTGCTTTAGGATGTTTTTTGGGATTGTGACCAAGATTGTCACATGGGGCAGCACGGTGGGTAAGCAATCCAAGCGCTGCAAGTAGACGCGTATAGCTTGCACGCTCCAGCCTTGTTGCCCAGCTCTCGGTGCAGATTCAGGGCCTCGTTCCTCCAGCGCAGGTTGGGGCTGTTTCGACCATCAGCGGCGTTCGGAATGCAAGCTCCAAGCGCTAAGGGACCAGAACAGAGAACCATCTACTACTTCTTGTCCAGGGCCCATGCAGCGACTGCGACGCACCGCCGGCATCGCCTCGTGCGATCTGGACCTTGTGGCAATCTCAGGCAATCTCAGGGTTCGGGGTACTGGCTAAAAACATGTAGCAACTCCCATGACTGATGCCCTCTGCGCAGCCTCTGCCAGAATCTCCGCCACATCCACCTGACCGGAACTTGCTTCTGCGCCCACAAGGCCTATTGTATAAGCATAAACTTTATACTATATACAAAAAACAAGCCCTTTGAATGAACAACAAAGCAATGGCACTGGCGATGTTGGCAGGCCGACGAAGCTTGCTCGGCCTGGGCTTGCTTACTCCCCGTTCTCTTCATCATCGCCAGCGCATCGCTGGCCTTGGCCGGCTGGTGCAAGGGTTTAGGGTTTAGGGTTCAGGGTTTAGGGACTGCGAGGCCAATGGTCCTGGGACAGCGCCATTCTGGGCAGGTCTTGCCGCCTTGCCCTTCATTCCCCTCCAATCAAAGGCAAAGCCGCCGCCATCATGACGTCGAAACTTCGTTGGGCCATGTTGCCGTCAACAACCTAAGGTGGCTGCACGAATCATCGGTCCAATCAATCACCATTTCATGCTGGCGGAACCCGGAACGGTCCTAATGGTCTTTGCTTTGCTTATAGCCTCGACAACAGGCACGGCTCCTTGCTGAAGCGTATATGCCAATCATACAGTATCTGCCCGTGGACAGAGTCCGGTCACTCTCAGGCCAGAACAGCCTGGAGAGCAGATACCTGCGAAGCACGTTGACGTGCTCCCCAAACAGTTATCTACTAGTAAATGGTGATTCCGACTGCAACCACGTACAAGCGCGTAGGCTCTACACCAATGTGCGTCTTGCTTGTGATCGGCTCTCACGCCTGGGCACCAGCCCACCATAAGCCCCAGGCATCATCCCCCTGCAAGCGGGTTGAGAGAGGACTTTCTACATCTCTGAAGCATCTCAAGGTGCATGGGAGCAGCTAAGTCGGAAGAGAAGAACCTTACACAGAAGATGCTGAGGCCTGAAAGTCAGCAGCACACCAGATTGACATGGTGAAGCTGCTCTGCAGTGCTGATATGCCCTACGAGGTGGTGCTCTTGCTCAAGCGCTGAAGAACCGAAAACCAGCCGAAACATGCGCCATGCGAACTCAAGCAAGTTTCTGCATGGTTGCCAGGAACGGGTTCAGTGATAGGGCTTTTTGCCACCTGCACTGCACACGCCAACGCGCAACTGCACAAGGTTAGGGTTTTAGGAGAGGTATGTTGGGCAGAGGGTCATCGAGGGAGTTTGGGGGACATGGGAATCTGAGGCGCAGGAAAGACAAGGTTCAGAAAAAGGGTCACTGCCACCGAGCCTTTCAGCACGAACCGGGATGCTCAAGACTTTTTTCTCACCGTTCCCCTCGACTGGCTTCGATCTGCACGCAGCTGCTGGCTTGTGCATTGTGTGCGAACCCTAGATCCTACACTTATAAAGCCCCTTTGAATCCCGAGCCTGCCTCCTTGTGGCACATGAGTCACATGAGATGATGTCTCATAGCCTAATAGCATATGTATATAATGACAGTATTTATATTTCTACATACATATACATATAGACATATAGATATACATACATATATACATAAACACACACACACACACACACACAGACACACACAGAGACGGACAGACAGACAGACCGATATATATATATATATATATATATATAATATATATATATATATATGCTCATGCCCCCCCCCCCCCCCATGATCCACGTTTCTGCTTCGAAACAGATGGATCTTGGGAGGAGAGGGGGCCATGAGCTAGCGATAAAAACACCGACAGGGCCGATAAAAACCTATATCGTTTCAAGTCAGGCAGGTCATTTACATCAACAAGGTAGAGAAATACCTGAAAAAATCATGTTTTTTTAGAAAACTCGAGCCGGCTCGAATTTTCCAAAAAAAAATGACACAGTAGATCACCCAAACACGAGCAGGCTCGAATTTTCCAAAAAAAGCCTAAATTTCAGGATCTATGGCTCCAGCAGCCGGGTAGATCCTGAAAGCTCGGTTTTTTCTTGGAAAATTCGAGCCTGCTCGAGTTTCTGGGACCTAAAGCTTCAAGAATTTTAGGAAAATTCGAGCCGGCTCGAATTTTCCAAAAAAAACTGACACCGTAGGTCGCCCAAACACGAGCAGGCTCGAATTTTCAAAAAAAACCCTAAATTTCAGGATCTATGGCTCCAGCAGCCGGGTAGATCCTGAAAGTTCGGATTTTTTTGGAAAATTCGAGCCTGCTCGAGTTTCTGGGACCTAAAGCTTCAAGAATTTTAGGAAAATTCGAGCCGGCTCGAATTTTCCAAAAACAACTGACACCGTAGGTCGCCCAAACACGAGCAGGCTCGAATTTTCCCAAAAACACCTAAATTTCAGGATCTATGGCTCCAGCAGCCGGGTAGATCCTGAAAGTTCGGTTTTTTTTTGGAAAATTCGAGCCTGCTCGAGTTTTCGAGACGTGGTGCTTCAAAAATTTTCGGGAAATTCGAGCCGGCTCGAATTCTCTAAAAAATGCTGAAACTTGGCTGAAACCATGGCTGTGTGACGCCCAGGCCTCATAGATGACATAATTTAGGTTTTTTTTAGAAAATTCGAGCCTGCTCGAGTTTTCGAGACCTGGAGCTTCAAGAATTTTCGGATAATTCGAGCCGGCTCGAATCTTCTAAAAAAATGCTGAAACCATGGCTGTGTGACCCCAAGGCCTCATAGATGACAGAATGTAGGTTTTTTGAAAATTCGAGGAGTTTGAGCCGGCTCGAGTTTTCCCTATATCTCTTGAAATTCTGACTGCGGAAATTGATACAATTAGCATTAATTACTAATTCTAATTCAATTGTTGAGTTTCCCATGTACTTTAACCAAATATCTAACTTGTGAGAAGAGGCCACGCAATGGTTTAAATCCAACAGCCGTTTTGTTCTTAAACCCTTGACAATTAACATAAGAACTTTGTGTAATTTAAACCTTATATTAAACTATCAATGAGGATATGTTCGGGACTAAAAGTTTCCATTATATATAAATAGCATAGATAATTTAATTACATATACATACCTTCAACTTGTATTCAATCAAGTAATTCAAAACTATATGAATTGTCTTTACTATTGTTCTTCTTCCTACCTTTCACCTGCTTAACTGCTTCATCTACTTCACTATTCTCAACTAACTTTCTTATATTTTCGTAAGCATTTTGTTTAAGTTGCTTCTCTATCTTCGATTTCTCCTATTTGTTCCTATGCTGTTGCTTTCTTATGAAAAGCTATGAACATTGTGTCGATTATTGCATCAAACTGTTGTTAAAAGCTCTTCTTCGGTTATAGGTAGATGTCCTGCTTTGTTTTTAACATTGCCTATATCTTCATAAGGATGATTTTGTAGAGGGTCTAATGTTGATTTCTTTGATGTTATACTTCCTTAATCAAACATACCAACGGGGTCTCCTGCTTTCCGTATTCTTAAATTTGTCCCAGTGTCTTCTGGTCGCTGTCCTGATACAAAAGGAGAACCATAACTACGACTTCTGAATACATTACCATAATCATTGTTTATTTGTTGTCCCGATGCTGAACCTAAACTATGACTTATGATACCGAGCCTGTTGCGTCTTGTATACAGGAAGTTTTCAATCATCATAAACATCTCTACCGCTTGTAGTCCCAGCAATGTATAAAATAGAACCATTTTTAAATGTATCTCGTCAGGATTCTCATATGCTAATTAAAGTCCTAGCGTGTCCGTTAAGAATGCCTCTGTCTTTGCGAATTCGTCTCCAACTTCATTATGTAGTCTGCTTCTTGTGTTCGGTGCTTTATTTGAAACCCTTCATCTCTTCTTTTATGTTTATGCATTATACAATGGTTTATAAACTATTTTCATCTAACCAATGAATATTGTTGAATTTCAAGAAGGTGTATATTGAAAGCCATTATAGAGTGAATCCAGAAACGGATTCTGTTTGTAGATTTCTGTTGTTTAAAAGTGGAGATAATCAACAGCAAGTTGTAGCTTCAGACATGGCAAGACACGAAAGTATCGTAAATACCAGTGTTTTTTCAGAAGGACAAGCAAGAAAAGGATACACATGGATCATGGAGGGGGGTGTGACCATATATATATATATACATATCTCCCATTCCCGATCTAAAGTTCCCGGCCTACGAAGTTGCAGGTCCATAGGCCCAATAAAGTGGAGCAGAAGTCACCGCGAAATGGTCAACGCATGTCAGAGCGCTGTCACCGCGAAAGGGTCAGCGCATGTCAGAGCGCTGTGGACACGCGGGACATCAGCGGACCGTGGCAAGAGGAGGATCTCAAGCAATTCGTCCGGAAAGGCCCGGATCCTGGAGCTAGAGCTGCTGCAAACAACGGCAGTGGCAGAGTCGGACACTGGCGGCACGATCTCGAGAACACGCGCGTGTCGCAAGCGGACGCAGCAGACCAGAAACAAGCATAGGCCGAGCGCCGCGGACCGGAAGGGTGCGCCGCGAGCATGCCCCTGTACCGAAGCCCGTTATTCCTCAACGTCGCCCCAAAATGTTGAAAGCACTGGCACATTTCAGGGCCCTTTAGGGTGTAGTGTAGAGTGTATGGGCAGCTGCACGCCCCTGAATTCCAGAAGCCATGCTTCGATCATGGGGGCCCCACGAGTTTAGGAGCAGGGACATCCACATTGGCAAGGGCAGACAGGACGCCACGACTTGCTACTTTTGGTTGAAGCTTTCCATGAGCAGGTAAGCTCCCATTGGAGCGTCTACGTGGGCTTCACTCTCATCGAAGTTGTGGTACAGGCCACCTCAGCTGCGGATTCTACATGGAGACTAGACTAGCAGATGTTCGATGCGCCACTCACTCGCCTAGCATATTCGGGCTTGGGGTTTTGGGGCTGTCAGGGTGGCAAGTTAAGTACAAGACGGCCCAAGCAAGAACAGGAACACAGGCCGCGCCGTGAAACTTTGAACCTCAACTGTATAGGCATCTTACATGCGCGTGCTGGCCATGTCCAGTCCAACGAAGTCTTGATGCGAAGCAGATGTCTCGTCCCTTTTTAACAATCAAGAGCCGGTGACCGTGCTAAATGCTAAACCTACATCTCCAAGTCTGAAAGGTCTTTGGCACAGATATCTAGTTACCGATTTCCAGGACTGCGCGTCTCAAGCTTTGAGCTCCAGGCGAGTAACCGAAGGTCTCACATTTGGCCCTGGTGCATGTTGGTTTGCAGTTGGACTTTTGCACCAAATCAACACCAAGAACACCCAACATTCGAGGGCTCCGAATGGCAACAGGCACGCCTTGAGCGCAGAATCCCAGATTCTTCAGGCTCCCCTTTGGGTGACATCGGTGCTGTTCAACCCTAAACCCTAAACCCTAAACCCTAAACCCTAAACCCTAAACCCTAAACCCTAAACCCTAAACCCTAAACCCTAAACCCTAAACCCTAAACCCTAAACCCTAAACCCTAAACCCTAACTGCGTTGGGCACATCTGAGCACCTGACCTCGCTGATCTGCAACCTGTGCCAGGGCATGTTTAGGGTTCACGGTTTAGGGTTTAGGGTTTAGGGCTTGAGCCGTTTTGCCGCCACTTTAGGGCTGGGGTTTTGGAGAGCCCAACACCTTGTGTATCAGGATGCATTACCTCAGTATGGGGTCTCTCTTATGATGAGATAAGGCGCATTCCTTGGCGGTATTGAGGGCCCTTTTCTCATGGGATTGTGAGCCTGGCTCCTTGCCACCTCGCGCTCCGACTCCGCACCTCGAAGCCTGAAATCCTAAACCCTCGAACTGCAAGGTCTGGAGTTCGTAGCCCAGAGTTCGCTTGTAGCACTACTATGGACTGGCCCGTGCTTACTGGTTCTTAGCAGGAATCGGGGACAAGGGGTTCTGTAATCTCTTTTTAGGCTTAAAGGGCAGCAATCACACGGGGACCGGCGCTGCACCTGAGCCCTCAGCCTAAAGCCCTGAAGCCCAAAGTTCTAAGCTCTGAGTTCCAAAGCCTTAGGCCCTAAACCACCCTGGCTCCCAACCCCTAAACCTCAAACCTTGAACCCTAAACCACTAAGTTCTAAACCCCCAAACCCTAAACCCCATCATGCTGTTCAGAACTTACTCGATGAAAGCCTCCTTCTGGCGAGCGTGGGGCCTGCGCAGGAGGAAGGGTGCTGCTGCGGACAAGCCTCCGACCACAGGCGCCCAGATAGGCTTGAGGGCCTATGGTGCGCGGTTTCGATTGTTTCAGGTTTTAGAGTTTGGGCGTGGGTCAAAGAGGGTTTGTGCTTTTTTGGATTTGTTGCTTCGATTTCGTTCGTCCTCAATCTCCCTTCCTCGATCCAGCCAATCCGCATTCCCAAGAACCATTCCCCTCCCTTCTAATGAGAAACTTCACCTCCTTGTCAAGGCTTCATGTTAGACCCAACAGCCGAACCCAGTGGCCTTCCGCATTTGCAGGCTGCGGCAAAGGAGGAAGATGTCGCCCTGCTGGCCACGTTCTAGCAACACGTTGGTTTCAAGAGGTAGGGGGGCCCAACATGAACCCCAGCACGCAATCCCTCGAATTCATGGATCCCCATCGTTTAGATGCCAGACCTGAATGCTAACACATGCCCTCTACAGCTTTAGAGGAGACGTGTCCACCAAGAAAGGGCGAAGCCTCACATGAGAGGAGAGGAGACGGTAGCCAAACGTCTCTGTACTGCACCGCGGGGCCAAGAAACCCATAGTTTCGTCCATTCTCCAGTGTCTCTACTTCGTGATTCTCCCTGTTGGTAGACTCCAGTTTGTTTTGCAGAAACGGCCCTAGACCCTTCGAGGTCCCAGCGCCCATGTTTGATTTGCCGTTTCATTCTCCACGATTGTAAACACATGCTCGTAAGCCCCCTCTAACCCAACAGCATAATACTTACACTAAATCCTGAACCCGTTTTCAACCCGGTAATCCGAAATAGAACCCAGCAACATACTCTAAACCCTGTAGCCCTAAAACAACAGACGCGAAGCCGTAAACCCTGAGCAGCAAACCCTAAAAAAACTAAATGAACCCCAAACCCTGCACCTTGGTAAGTTCCATTCTCTTGTGCGTCAAAACCCTGCAACTTGCAGCGAACCTCGAGAGCGACGTGGCTACCTGGCCGCTCAGGGGCTAAGGGTTCAGCTGGGTCAAGGATCGCGCCCATCCAGGCTTTAATGTGCTTTCTGTGGGAAACTTGGGTTCTAGGGGGCCCAGGGGCTGTGGTATTTGGGTCATGTGGGGAGTACATGGGCTCAGGCTCTCTGCAGGCCTAGCATGCTGCATCAGCACTCGACTTTTTCCACGGTCTGGAGCCCGTAACGGCTGTGGGAATCACCCATGTCTCTTCTCAGACGCATGAACCGCATCTTGCGCCTCTCCTCATCTAGGCGTCCGCATCTCGTTGTATTGGTCACGACAGTGCTGCGACAACGACTGGCCCAGGCTACGAAGCTGTCGCTTTAGTGATGGGTCCTGCTTATTGCAGTACTTGATTTTCGACATTGTGGCTGGCAAACTCTTCGCTGCTGACTGCACGTCGGAGTTGTCCAGAAAGTGTTGCGCTGCAGATTTATGCGCTTCCTTCTCAGTGTTGCACGGCTCGCTCACGTGCACAATGTCATGAAAGGATGGCACGTGAAACTCTGCAGTAATCCGGCCGTCATCCTGTTGAAACGACGTGTACCAGTAATCATCTTTGCAAGGATCTCGCCCAAGGTACCGGGTCATAAACTTGCGCACAGTGGTCTTTGGGTGGTCCTCAGCGAGGTCCATGCCAATGCAATCTTCCAGCCTCTTGCGCTTGGCCGGACTGGCTGCCATTGCGGCTGTGTTACAGGGCTTCTGCTGACTCTCTCTCTCCCTCTTTACCTTCTGCTGACTGTTGCGTCGGCTGTCATGCTCTCGATCACATCTACCTCTGGCATTGCTCCATGTGAGCCTTGCCACGGCTCAGATATTCGGTCATCTCAGGCGGCCGCGCGCATATCAGAACAGAAGGCTCTTAGTCACAACAAAGCAGAGAGCGCCTGCAGAAATCCTGGGCTCCTGGAAACCTGCAAAGTGACAGCGAAACCCCAAACCACTGACTCTCAATTGATTAGAGGGCCCCTGTAAGTCAAGATCCAACAGCCGAACCCACTGGCCTTCCGCATTCGCAGGCTGCGGCAAAGGAGGAGGATGTCGCCCTGCTGGCCACGTTCTAGCAGGGCGTTGGTTTCCAGCTATCTCCCACAGCGCAATCTTACCAGTCGAATCCGCACACAAGTCCCGTAAACATAGTGAGGTTGTAAAAGATCTTTGTAAGAGGATACCCTAGACCCTCAGCCCCTAAACCCAAAACCCTTTGCAGGAAGGCGTGGTTCTTTGCCCTTGGTGCTCTGAGGTTTGGCGTTTAGGGTAGCAATGAGCCGGATGCAAAGAAAGAATTAGGGTTGAGGTCTGCATTGCAATAATCTGCGGGACTTTGTGACTCACCACAGGAAACCCGGAAACATGAAGGGAGACAACGGGAGAAAGCCGGAAGGCCCATTCAGCAAGAAGCGAAACAAAGCCAAGCTGAGACGCAAGCCACCGGGAGCCCTACAAGTCCCCCAACATGAATGAATGTGGATGAAGGGTGACAAGCGGAGACATAAGCTATATGGGGCGCCCGGGACGCCCATTGTTGGTTGTTGCTGACTGCTGCGCAGACCCTGCCGCGACAGAATCCAATGCGTAAGCGTTGGACCCGCCCTAAACCCTAAGCCCTAAACCCGAAACCTCCCAGGGCAAAGGCCGGCAGTGCCACTGAAACGATCATATCAGGCTTTGTTTATCACACAACATGTATCTAATTGCTCTCTTTCTGAAGGGAACAGAGAATTGCTCGCACACCTCTCTTTGCTCGGAAGCCCTGTGTTGCCGCTAGTATTGCAGATACGAAGCAGGTCGCATGCACTGTGCGTTCATCAGACAGCGGGGCCCTGAAAGCACTTGGGAAGCACAAAGGCAGATGATGTTGGAAGTAGCGACTTAAGGTCCTAACTTCAAGAGAACCTACAAGGACGTGTGAGACCAGGGCGTCGGGGGGAAGCTGCCAACAAATTCAGGAAGGGAACAAAAATGAAGTCTGACAGTCAGGTCAATGTACTGCACCTGCTCTGAGCCTGGGGCGCAGACGAGGGATGCGGCGACATGCAGCGCTTTCTGAAAGCCTCGAGGTACAGGATGCAGAAACAATCCTTTAGGCCTATGTGGCTTCCTGCTTGAAGAGTCACACGTTTCAAGCCCCTCTAGGGTTTTGGGTGTAGGGCGTAGGTTTTAGAGAGTGTAGGTCATAGGGTCTATCACGAAGTCCAATGTTTGGCCTCTCAAAACGTGTGTATGGCTAGAGCCGAGGACGCCCTCATTATCCTGTTATTGTCATGTGACTTGCGTCTTTCCCTCTCTGCTTTCCTGTTTGGTGGATCCTTCTTCTCTGCTCTTTTTGCCTTCGTCTTGCAATGACAAGGATAACAACACGAAGGAAGGGGAAAGGGAAGACACCATCACCTGTCGATGCGCTTCTCTCTCCTTACCTTCCCTTTCGAGATATGTCTCTTTGGCTCTCTCTCTCTCTCTCTCTCTCGTTCTCTCTCTCTCTCTCTCTCTCTCTCTCTCTCTGCCATCTCTTGCGAGGAACGAAAAATGTCAGCTAGCAGGGCTAGCAAAACTCAAAGTCAAGTCCCAAACTGGGCCCGGCACAGCCGGTCACCATGGATTCACCAAGATCCTGGCAAAGGCAAACTAGGCGTCGATTTCAACAGCCCCCAAGATTATTCATAATTAGGGCTCCACATTAAACAAAAAGGAATAATTAAAAAATGAGCCCAAATCGATACCTAGCAAAGCTGAAGCCGGAGCTGCCCAACTCGCGCATCAAAGGACGTTGCGTTCTGGGGCCTGGAGTGCGGGTATTTCCGGTTTCGCCTCGAGCCTCGAGGCATTTAGGGATTTTCAACGTTAAAAAACCATGTAGAGCTTAGGTTTTTTTTAAACGTTTGTTAAGGTTAAAGAAACTTCACGGCCTTTCCTGCTCAGACGGGCCTTTTTAAAGCGGTTGCGGCGTCCATACGCCGAAAGCTGCATCCAAAAACTATCAACTTCCCCTGGCGGTTGGCTTCTGCCAAGTCCGCCGACGCTTCCTTTTTGTTGTTGCTCTCTCTCTCCCTCTCTCGCTCTCTGTCCCTCTCTCGCTCGCTCGCGCGCTGAGAAAGAAAAGGACAAAATGCAAGCATGATTCAGTTTGACCATCTGAGAAGTTGCAGAGTCCAGCTCCAAGAGGCCTGGCATGCTCGCAGCCCGTCACCACGCCTCGTCCTTGCCTTTGCCATCGGCAGATCTCGGCCATGTCCAGAAGTCTCGGAAAAAGTTTAGGCTTTAGGGTTCAGGGCAGAAGTAGGGTCTGGTTTCGGTGTGATTCTTGTAACAACGAACAGCTCTGTTCCGTCATGCGCGATGGTGGGGAGGGGAGAGGAAGAGTAGAAGCTGTGATGAAGTTCTCTGGCCCAAACGGTCAAAGCGACGCACACCTTGGCTTGCGAAACTGCAAGCAACGGGGCATCAAAACCTCCAAAAGGAACCAAATGCAGACCGCCGGAGTTTTGCTATTTCTCCGTTGCCCTCCTTTGCCCTGGCGGCCGCTTGTGGACTGCCGACAAAAACGATCGCTTCCTGCGCCCAGCTTGGGGAGGATGTCGGCGGAGAGCCGTAAGAGTGCTTCACGATCACCCTGACCTCAATCATCCTCAATCTCTCAATCTCTTCCCTGACTTTGCAGCCCTGCTTTGCTCGACTCCAGCAGCGGGTGTTTAAACGTGGTGTCCTCGAAGCGGCGGCCGATCACCTCCCCTGTCTGCCGGATGACAATCCACTCACCATCGCACCCGGTGGTAAAGCGCCGGCCCCAATTCACATGCCGGTCGCCTTTGTCCACGAGTTGCACCTTCAGACGCGGACAACGGCCGCAAAGCCAAAGCAGCAGGTAGACCGCCAGGCGCCGATTGCAAATGCTGTAGTAGTAGCCCTCGTGGTAAACGACATCCATCATCTCAACTTCGCGCTTGCGCATGCTTCGTGCAATGATCGCATCGAACATCTCTCGTACTGAAGTCGTCAAGGGACGGTGGGCTCTGGCAGCTCCGTCGCCAGAGCTGTAGCCACTGCTGGCCCCGCTAGCGCTGTCCTTGAAGCCTGACTTGATGGAGTCTTGTGTGAAGTAAAGCTGCCACGTGGGAATGAAGAAAACGCGACCAGCATCACTTCCATAGAAACGGTGCGGAATGCTCACAATAGGCTCCGCCCTACTCTCGATCTCGGACGCCGCTTCGGCTGTGAGCTGCCTTGTTGACAGTTCTGGCTGTTCTGGCTGTCTAGACACGGATACTCCGGCCTCAGTGGCTTCGATGGCTTCAGTCACAGCGTTCGGCTCGGGAGCGACAGGCGTCTCAGCACTCTCAGGCGCAGCTGCGGATGCTTCAGCCTCCTCAGCCTCCCCAGCCTCCCCGGCCTCGTCGGCCTCGTCGGCCAGCTCCGCAGACTTCTCGGCCTGCTCGGCATCCTCGTTGGCCTCGCTGTCGCCGTCGCTGTCGGCCTCGCTCCCGTCCTCATCTGCGCCACCACGGCAGAAGGCGTTGGATCTGAAGTCGAAGCGGAGCCTGTGATTGGCGGCTTCGCATGGCTCCATCTGCTCCATCAGCATGAAACGCCCCAGCCAATGAGTGCGGCTTGTCAATCCCACTTTGCGGTCTTGCTTGGCCTGCTTCTTGCTCCGGGTCTTGAAGATTGCCTGGACATACTGCTGAGCTCCATCCAGCAAAACCGGATCCGTCTCTCGCAGGCCCGCTTCCACTTGCCTGGCGGACACGCGCTTGCTACCGGTACCAAGCTCTTCAAGCTTGGCAAGCTCTTGCTGCAAGAAGCTGCGCAGTCTTAACGAATCTTCTGCTGTGAAAGCAGGCTCCGGCTTGGCTTTGGCCTTGGGCGCCTTGGGCCCCTCCTTAGCCTTGGGATCCTTCGGCTTTTGGGACTTTTCAGGCTTCGCGCCTCCCTCGCTGGCTGCAGGCTCCTCCTTCCCGGGTGGTGGCGCGGCATCACGAATCAGCTGTCCAGCCTCAGGCGAAGCCTTCTCCCTTGGCGGCACTCTCTTCACCCCTTTGCCGCTGCCTTTGCCGAGGTGCGCGGCGCTGTCTCGCTCCCAGGCCTCCCTTGCATCCACGAAGTGCAGGCAGCGGCGCTTCACCACCTTCAGCTCCTTGGCTTTCCCTTCGGACTGGAGCTCCACAACGAAGCGCGCTTCTTCCCCCGCCTCGTCAGAGCTCTTCCTGGAAAGCACACGGCCGCGGCGCCCGTTGAGCTCTGGGTTGTTCACCAGCCCGCCCAGGGTGACCAGGCTTCCCAGCACTTCCTCATCGGGATCTTCAGCATCAGCGGAAAGGTACAGGCGAGAGCCGGCTGCTCGCCGCCCGCCCTCCTCCAGTCGCCGTGCCTCCCCGATGTTTTCGAGCCCTCGCTGGCGTCGGAAAGCAGCCGAGCGCGCAGTCGAGCGTGCCGTACTCTCGCTGCTCTGACTGCCTTGATCGTCTGAGTCGGACAGTGATGAGTAGCCACCAATGTCTGCAGCCAGCTCACCACAACCCGCCATGTTCAGCTGAAACCGCGCGTAGGCGCTCATCTCGCCCTTCTTCTCAATGCTGAGAGACAGCTTCTGCGCCTTCAGCGCCACTTGCGTGCCATCGTTGATCACGACTTGGAAACGAGGCTCCGTGCCATCAGCCGACGGCAACGTCGTCACCAGCGTGCCCAGGGCGCCGTTGAGGTCCACCGGGCGGCGAAGCTTGGGACCCGTGGGCTGCACGCTGCGCAACGACTTCACAAGCACCGTTGAGCCAGGGGGCACGTGCCTTGGGGACCAGATGAACCCTAAAAGGGCTTATTTAAGCTCATCTACCTTAATGGGAACCTATAATTTATGGTGGTATAGGGATGTATAGGGTATCTGACCCCAATTTTTTAGGGTTCATTTCGTCTTCCAGGTGCTGGTCCACGAAGCATGCGTGCGGGAGCCCGAAGTTGTCCCTGACCAAATCCAGCGACTCGAAGAGTTGACGCCACAGGCGCACGCCGCCCACATCCGCGAAGAAGAGCTCCACATTGTCGAGGAAAGCGAGCCGTTTTGGGGACGAAGGCACGCTTTCTTCATCATGCGCTCCGACACCTGCTTCGAAAAAACGCTCCACGGATTGCCAAAGCTGGCACACGCTCGCGGGGTAGCGGTGCGCGGGATCGTACTCATGCGGCCGCGGCGAAAACCAGTGGCCTGTGCATCTTGTTCTGCCCTCGTCGTCCGCGTGCATCTGCTGGACTGTGGTGCCATAGATGCACTCGGCAAAACGCCGCAGGGAAGGCCTGTCAGAACTCATGGCATTCTCATCCCCGTACTTGAATTTAGCGTGGTCCTTCTGAAACCGCTTCGGTAATAATTTGCGTGCCAGCGAGAGCAACCTTGCGAAATCAAACTCAGGCGGATACTTCTCACGCTGTTCCACCAATTTGCAGAAGAGGAAGAAGTCTTGGGCGACCGACAGCGGTGTTGGAAAGGCCTTTGGGGGACCATCTGACTCGCGCTCGACGATGAAATCCAGGCCATCCACGGTGATGCGCTGGAGGTCAGAGAAAGTCTCCCTCACCAGCACCTCTACTCCCCTTAGAACCTTAATCAAAATAGCATTTTTAATATCCTCTTGGGCTTTGTAATTCTAACAAAATAAGAAAATAATTCCCAAGGAAAATATAGGCACACCAGTCTCGTTCAGCGGCCGGAGACGACGCTCCACGCGGATCATGTGCTCGTAGATGCCGCGGCGGATTCCTCCCCGCCATTGTAAGTCATCATGGCAGCGCATGCGGTAGGCATCGATGAGCCAAATGTAAAGCTCATCGTTGTGTGCGGGCCTGAGCCCGGCAATTGGCTGGGGCTCCTGGCGGACACCAAGGGCCGCTTGCTTGGCTTGCTTTGCAGCTCGCTTCGCCTTCTTTGTTTGCCCTTTGCCTTCGCTTGGATGAGGCTTTATGCCCTTTTCCTGCTCAAACCACTCCAGGTTACTTCCATGAATGTCCGCATCTTCGTCTAGGAAAAACTCGGGCCAGTCGGCCGCGACAGATCCTGTGGAATTCTGCTGGCGTGCGCGCATGCTTCCTGTGGGGCCCTTGGGCCCACCACCCATAGACATAAGCATGGACACTAAGTCGGGCTTGTCAGCAACCGCTTCTTGCATCTTCTTCATGTGATCCCAGGCGCCGTTGAGGCCGGCTGCAGCCGGAGGCAAAGGGCCTTTCAGCTTGCGCGCGAGCGCGCGCACCCGCGCAGCGTCGTGGAGTGCGTCCAGTGGCAAACCGAGTCGCTGGAGTCTCCACAGCAGCTGCGGTCCCGTGTCCTCCGGATGATCACGGACCAGTGGAGCCAGAAGCTCTTCTAGATCTCCAGAGAGCGACATGGACAGCGTGAGGGCTGAGCACGTAGCTCAGTTCATGGCTATGACGATCCTACAAGTCTAGCTTGTAAACACCAAACGCGACATCAAGATCTATGCTCTGCAACGACAAGGCGTTAGAAATGTTTAGAAATCCGCCGAGGCCTCGGGCCGGAGGTGTATAGGTTGTCAGAACAGGCACCCCCCTCCAAATCCTCCCCCCACACCCAAAGCCACTTTTCGGACCCTTTTTTTGCCTCAAATGGGTACCCCGCCTAGCAAACCGGGGTCCGCAAGCGGACGGTTCACCCCCCCACCCCCCCAACCCCCCCCCCCCCCCCCAACCCCCCCCCCCCCCCACCCCCCCCCCCCACACCCCTACCCCTCCCCCCCCCTTGCCCTGCCCCCCTTCCCCCCCCACTCCCCCTACGCCCCTGAGGGGCCTGGCTCAACCCTACGATCAATCCAAGCCGAACCGTCTTGAACCCTACTCCCAAAAAACCCTAAACCCCAAAGCGTGAACCTTGAGCCCTAAGCCCTCAATCCTAAACTAAACCATAAACCATAAACCCGGAACCCTAAACCCTAAACCCTATACCCAACCCTTATTGCTTGGGGTCCAGCGACTTGGGCGCTGCGGAATCACCATGCTCACGCGGATGCGCTGGGCCGGGCCGAGGCGGGTCGCGTAGCGTTAAAATTACAGGTCATCGAGCGCATCTAGGCATGCCTGCAACGCTGTATAACTCTTTGAGGTTCAAGAAAGGAACTGCGGCATCCCTTCTGTGCCTGCGGTTCTGGGGATACAGGGGTCAAGTACGACTGATCCTTGTCCTTGTCTGCTTGCCTGATTTTCCTGGAGAGCGGCAGAGGCGGCGTGCCCCTGAATAGCAAGCACGGTCGAGAGTCTAGAGGTATTTGAAATGCCTCCAGGGCAACTCTTGAGAACAGGGCGGCTATGCGAACAATCCTTAGTGGTAGTTGGTTAATGGTTGTTGCTTATGTGGCTATAGGGTTTCTGGAATGGTTGTTGGTCAATCCTGAAGTGGCCCACCCTGGTCGAATGAGTCGAATGAAATCGAGTGAAGCCGAGTCTTTCGAAGAATCTTTCTGAATCATCCCGGATCAAGGGCGTCAGTGTGGAAAGCTCACCCTCCAAAAACAAGCATTTCAGCTTTGTTTCCCTAGGTGACCTGGGACTGGGGCACCGACGAATACTTCAACGAATACGTTGAGGATAGCAACCTAAAGGAGCGGGCGGGCAATTCTTGAAGCGGAATTATGGGAGCCTCAAACGCTGCTCTTCCACCTCTCGTCTAATCTACCTACTCCGAATCACTAAGCGACCCGCAGATCATTCGGGCTGATATCATTGCTTCAAGAGTTTAGGCACTTTACGACCTAGGAATGCGGGTGGGACAAGAGGCCGTACGGCTGCAGTGAGAATGCTCTTGGTGTGCCTTGCGGGCCCTTGATTGATGCTCCTGATGCTCCTTCCTGCCAGGTGTTGTTTTCTGCACTCTGCTCGACTATGCCGACTATGCATCAGGAACTGTTCTGGGGGCTGCGCCAGCACGGCGCATCAGTCGGCTCAGAGAAGGAGAGGCCTGAACGAAGAAGCACAGCTGTAGGGTTTAGGGTTTCGGGTTTCGGATTTAGGGTGTAGGGTTTATAGGGTTACTAAACCGGGTTTTGGGGTACCTAATTCCATAATAGTTGTCGATCGGGCACTGTGTCAGGCTCGAGACCCCATCGTAAGCAACCCCACGCCGCAGATTTCTACAGTGAGTTCCGGCATTGCAGCAGATGAGGCCCGGTGAGCCAGGTCTCAAAACGAAGCAGAAAAGAAGAAACTCAAAGAAAGAGACGCGAACTCCAAAATCTACATCGCACTGAAGGGTCACTGATTCACTTTTGGGCTCTAGGACCTCTGATAGCTGCGAGTACTCAGCCCCACACGTCAAATTCACGGACAGCGTCGTGCTACAGGTGCAGTCCTCCCTCGGGCTTCAGATCGTCGGTTGAATATTCGACATTAGTGTATTAGTGTCACTGTATTGGCTTCCTGGGATGTGAATTGGATGTTACCCTCTCGGGGCCATGCACAAGGGCTGCGTGGCGTCCGTGGGAAGCAGCCGAGAAAAGTTGCCTAGGTGGATGAAGGCAATATCTGCAAGCATTTGCGGCTTGCCAACAGTTGGCGATGCCATGAATGACCCGAAGCCCTGAGCCCTAAGCGCCACTTCCAGCCAAATTGGAGGATCAGGACGTAGTTCCTGCGCTTGCAGCATCAGACGACCGACGAAGCCGCGTCGCAAAAGTGATGACATCCCAGTCAGAAAAGGCCAGCCAAGACCTGAGGCATTCGCCGATCATCAGCCGTTGCCCGTCGGCTCCATGTCCGTGTCAGCAACAGGAACCTGGCAACAGGAGTCCACATATGGATGCTTGCGTTTTGAAACCATGCAGGCAAACATGCAGGCCCTATCTCTGCCACAGGCCTCTTGTAGAAGCACAAAAATCTTCCAGCTTTGGTCAAGGAGGCCTGACGTTACCAGGCAACTGCCACACTCTGTGCTCATGTCCTCTCTTCACCCTCTTCACCTCTCAGCTCTTCAGCTCTCACGTCTTAAGAGGGTAAAGAGAGCTCAAATCAAAGAAACAATGCCGATAAACTGGTCTGAGTGTGTCTCTGTGTCTATGTATCTCCGTGTCTCTAGAGTCTCGCTGCGCTGCACTCTCAGAGAGCTCTCCTTCCCTTGCAGAAGGGAACGGACGGCGGCTTTTAAACACACTCTGAGAGCTGTGCCCCACCGCAGTCCCACCCCCCTCCCCCGCCTTATGTCTGCGCGTCACCTGATAATGTTGAGGAATGTGACTTTTGCTGAAAACCCCTGGGCTCACCCGCCTACCAGGCGACCTCGCCAAGGACTAGACAGACAAAAGAGCAGTTTACTTGCCGAGGTGAAAAAGGCTTTTGCGTGTAGGGTATAGAAACGTACAGAATGACTTGTGCAACATCTTGTATGCACATCCGCCCCATCTACATCATTGGTTGGGATGCCGGCATGGCGCGACAGAATGCCTGATCCAAATCTCACGACATTTGGGGGGAACCTGACAGAGAACCTGAGACCCCCCACGAGCTGGCTCGAGGTTCTGCTCCACAGCTACTCTAAACTCCCAAGCGTCCTTCTCTCCTTCGTCCTTATGTGCTACCCAGATGTACACAAGATCATGTGCCATCAGCTCATGAACAGCAAGGGTCTCCCAGACTTCTCCGGCAGGGCCCCGGCCAGGCTGTCTGTGGAGAGCTGCCACCTAAGCTCCAGGGGCTCCGGCACCAATGCCTCGGGAGGGGTGGGGGGATAGGGAGGCTGGGGGTGTGAGGCAGGGGAACGCGGGGAAGGATTTTATAGCTATGTGAGGTTTTTTGATGAGATGAGGGGTGTTGGTTTGGATCCCTGAACGATGATTGCATGGGGGGCGGCGGGGGGGAAGCGTATAGGTTTCTGCCTGTTTCAAGGCTTATAAACCCATTCACATTACAAGGCTCTTTCAAGGGCCACTTCAGAAGTATTGGAACCCGCCCCTGGCAATCCTGCAAATGTAGCTGCGCTGGCAAACGAGATGCAAGTTTTTGTGTTTTGGGATTGCGGGCTTATTGTTCAGGATGTCTTGTTGTTAAGGCGCATGCTCTTTGAACAGTTGCGATTCTCGCTGTCGTCGCCTGAGGACCTTCAAATGCTTGCGCGACGCCAAACAAGCTTCAGCAGCACCACGCGTGCCCCTCTCTCGCCCAGGACCGTCGGATTTCACCAGCTTTTCTGCTTCAGTTCGTCCTTGCATGGGGATGAAGTAGAGGTCCAGCTCCGTTCTTCATAATGTCACTGTAGGCGGCGCATGACACAGGCGCATCAGAAAATCTCGCAGCTTGTATCGATGCAGCAATCACAGCAGCTGTTGAAGGCTCAGAAGTCATAGCAGTTGTTGATCATGCGATCCATGGACTTGCAGAAGGAATTAATCTGAAAACTGTAGGAGTCCATGGATGAAAATAACGGCGCACGACAGCGCGCGTAAGTCTTGTTCACTGCGGGCAAGGTGATTGTAATACCCGGGCAGAAGGGGATCTTCCTGTCAGCTGTGGGCCACGGGTGGTTGTGGTACTGAATATCGAGCTGTTGGGCGGACTTCGTCCAGCGCTCGCGAAACACTCGTGCTGGAATTGGGACCTCCAGAAGATTCACGAAGGCCTCCATGCAAGCAGATTTGAACAATTTGCATAGAGAAACAACTCAAATTGAAGCAACAAGGAAGAACACGCAAGAAGCAGCACCCAGCAACCTTGGCGGAAGTCGTCCTTGAAGGCTGCCGGCAAGTTGCCCTCCAAGCGAGAAAGTCTCCGACCTGGCTCATGCGGCATGTCCTCCCCCTTTTATCAATGCTCAAGCGAGAGCACATGCTCGACAGGACTGCGGCAAACAGGCAAGGCGCCGGGAGGAAGTCACAGACTTCATTGTTTAACCTTGCCACGGGTGTGCGAAGGCGCTACCGCAAAATCACAACAGTAACTAAGGAGAACGCAATCCTAGCCACGGTGCTTAGCGGCCGACAATTCGAGTGGGCTCTGAGATGCGACAGCTTGCTCTACCGACTTGTCCTCGACGAGGCAAGAGCTTGCGTGCTGGAACTGCTTGCGCAACACGAGCCGCAATATAGCTTTTAAGAGCTTGCAGTCACACACAACGCGCACAATCCATCCACCTCACAAAGCTCCCGCGATGTGTCCAAGCACGGCTTCAGGGTTTGCTTCAGAAGTGCATGAAAAAGCCAATGCTGGGTGCTTGGCAGTTGCATGTGTGCGTCAGCCATTGCGCAAAGTGCCAAGTCATGTGAGCTGCACAGTCAAGTGGTGAGTTTTGGCGGAGTTATTTGTGGCATGGCCATGCGGCCGTGGCTATGCACAGGAAGCCGGCTTGACAACCTACACCATGGATCAAGGGGACTCTTGGACATCCTACCAGGAAACCTACCACCCTGGACACACACCTGGTGGGACTCAGTGCATTGGACGGTGTCAAAGCAGAGGGGCCGTTTGGGTATGGACAGGGCCATCACACGGCCTTATGACATGACGGTGCTCATACGCTGCAGGTCACAACCGCCACCCTTGAATGCTTAGACCTTGGACGGCGACAGAACTTGTGCCAGAAGATGAGCGCATGATTGCACCCCCCCTTCGCAACTCCATGCATGCAACTGCAGACATAGTAAGCATCGGTCAACGGTTGTTTTCCTCGGTTCATATGACGTGGCCGCAGCTCAAAGCAACGCCATCATCATCCCGCCACGGCTCCTGACAGTGTGGAAACACATGACACATGTATACCCAAAGAACTGGGGAACGAAGAATCGTACCGAGCGAAGAACCACATCCACGTCAGCTTCGTCTCAGCGTCCGCTCCTTGCAAACACGATCAGCTTACAAGCGCAATCAAGCCCGAAAGGGAAAGAAAGACGAGAACCTTGTGGCATCCCTAAACCCTATATACCCTAAACCCCCCAGCCCCAGCATGGACCAGACGAACCCTCTGCACGAGTTTGAGCCTCCAAAGCGGCACGAAGAATTCACCCAACATCTGCTGAGACACTCATCCCGCGCGCAGCTGAAGAGACACTACCCCATGCAGAGCACATTGCTGCCTAGACATTGGGGGGGTTGTTCCATAAATTGTGGGCCCTTTTGGGTGCCCCCTTTACCATAACAAGGGCCCCTAAAAGGGGACCAGAATGTAGACCAACTACCCCCTGAACCCTCCCTAAACTTCAACCCTGAACCCCAAAACCCTAAATCTGGAAGCTCTGTCGCCTGCTCTCACAATAAGGAGGGCGGCAAAGACTGAATAATTGAATAGCAACTCTACACCCTTCTTGAAGCCCTAAATCTCAACCCTCTGTTTGCAATTACCTCGCCCGGCCTTCTTGAGCAGCCCCAGCGTTTCCGCCGCGCAGGCCTTAGTCTCCATGCAACCCGAACTGCCACAGACTCCCAAACCCCAGACCCCCAACATCTCCAAGCACCTAGCATGCCCCCAAGCCAGAACTCCCTACGATCTTAGGTAAGCCCACAAGCCCACAACTGAAACCACAAACAAAGCCTTTTAAAAGGGAACAGAGCGCGCTTGTTCTTGCTGAAACCGTCTCCGGTACTTGGGGTTTGCTTAGCGACAAGAGCTGCCGAACTTCATAGGCACTATAATATTTCTGTTCACTCTTCAGATCCCCAAGAACTTCTGTCGATCCAAGTTCCCTTGAAGCCCGAAAGCCCCAAAATCACCTTTTGCCAACCGCCTCCCGTGATTGGTGCACCGACTCAGAGGTCCGGACGTCTCGCAAGCCTGTAACCGGCGCGTCGACCTCGCAGCCGCACATTGAGGTTACAAAAGGTTTTTATAGTTATAGGGCGCGCTCGACGCGCAAGGCGTCCGAGCCCACAAACAAAGTAGCAAATCAGGGGGCTGCCGGGGCCTGGACAATGACAGGCGTGGAGGACGTGGGGACCTGGAGGCAGGGGCACACGGCTTAGGCCCTTTGGGATGGCAATTGATGACGATGACGAGCGTTGAGTGTAAAGGCCAATCCGGGTTGACTATTTGGGGTTTGGGGGTGAAGACATGGGCTGAAAGCGCTGGTGCGGTTTCGTTTGGTGTCGTTCTCCCTCAACTTCTCAGCATACTGGACTTGACTCTGGCCTGACCCTGGCCAAGACGGCACGGTTTTGGGGCACAAGAGGTCCAAGGAAGTCAAAGTGCGGCGTGGCATGAGGAAACGCGCCAGCAGTCCAGCAGGCGTTTCATCAACTTACAAGCCCACAATCCCAACTCCGCCCACACACGCGCACAAGCGCAAATCCAAATGAGGACAGCGCACGGCATGCTTATGGTCATCGTGAAGATGCGACCGCTCGCACACAAGCGCAAGCAAAGAACTGATTTTTTCGAAACCATCGCACAACAACCATGGAGCAACTTGCTTCCACCAGTACTACCGTGCCCTTATAGACTCCGTACAGCAGTCTATAAGCCTAAACCTTACACTCACCCCACAGTCAGGCCTGCGGTGTAGCCACAGGTCTGACCGGAGCTTTCAAACGTACCTGCGGCGCGTCCGAAAGTACTGCTTTGCAAATGGCAGGTTTTTGACAAATGATTGTGGCATGTCACCCTCAGGAAACTCTCCGGGAAGCTTTCGGGAACATGCACGTGCTGGTAAACAGCTACTGCGTGGCGGCAGCCGGGCAAGTCTAGGAGTCTTGCAATAAAAACTGCACAGAAGGTGGATCGTGCTGGATCTGCGCTGACACAAATAGGCGCACGCGCTCCCGGCTCAGATCCTCCTTGATTTGCGCTTCCACAGCAGACATGAAGTCCGGCAGTTTCCACTTACATACCTTGCATTGTATGGCCGAATGCATATGGAAGCTTCTGCAATTACCAGTATAGATCACGCAACTGTCACGCATCACGCCGCGGCACGGCTTGGAGGCGGGAGATCTTCGCTTGGAGGCGAGCATTGACTGCCCGACATGAGCGCATGCAAGAATGCTCCAAGTATGAGTACCCTAAACCCTAAACCCTAAGCCCTAAACTCCCTAAACCCAAAACCCTAATCGATAGCGCGAGTGCCATACATCTCTGGCGCCATGTACGCGGAAGTTCCGCCTGTTCTCTTAATGTCTGGCCACGCAGACACTTCACAGCCTCTCCAAAGTCACCAAGTCTAGCAAGGAACGGTGGGTCCATCTCATTCGCTACCAAAATATTTTCTGGCTTCACGTCACGATGCACAATCTGCAAGGAGTGAATGCGCGCAAGTCCTCCCAAAATGTCTTGACATGTCAGCACAAGAATGTCTTGACATGTCAGCACAAGATCGTGCACAGAGATGAGCCCGTTGTAACGAATGTGTCCTTGAGGGCGGCCACACAATCTTTGTGATGTGGCTTGGCGCAGACAGCCGCGAGGAAGATGTCACCTTCCTCTTGGTCCCAGGCCGATGCGGCCAAGATCTCCCCCGTGGAGGTGTCGAAGGTGATGCTGGCGGCGCTAGCCTCTGGAACCTTGCCGAGCATGCACCGGCGAAGGAACAGGGGCTGCAAGCCCGTCCAGCAAACCCGCACAAACAGGGTTCGGGCGGAGTCTTGCTTGGTGTTAGAGATGAAGGTTCACGGCTGTGGGCTTTGGTTTAGGGCAGAGGCCTAGGGTTGCGTGGTTCAGGGGAAGGGTCTAGGGGTTTAGCTTTTAGGGTTTAAAAAGCTTGGGCTTTGGCTTGTGGTTTAGGGTTAAATTTTGTGTTTTTTGTGGGTCAAGGGTTTTGTGTCGGTTTAGGGTTTAGGGTTGGTTCGGGGTTTAGGGTTTTCTGGTATTTGAGGCTTGGGGTGTTGGTTTAGGGTTCAGGGTGTAGGATGTAAGACCTCAAGTCCAAGCCTATCCTAGTCAAGCAGCGCATTGTGAAAACAGACGAATGCACACCCGCCCAGAGAATCTGCAGAATCTCATCACACGGGGCCCTAGACCCGCCCACGAGTTTCCGGCCTGTGCCCATGAAGTGTTTAAGATTTTACATGCATATGAAGGAGAGAGAGCTTAGGGAAGTCAACGTTACTTAAAAGTTTATGGTTTTGCTGTTTTGGTTTGAGGTGTTAGTGTTCCTTCCTTCCTTCCTTCTTTTTCCTCCTTCCTTCCTTCCTTCCTTCCTTCCTAAGAATGTCCCTCCGATCCGGGCCTCCATCCTTTTCCTCCAGGAACTGCTGGAAGTCCTCATACACCTTGTCCTTGGCGGCGTAGGTGCTCGAGCTACGACGAGCTGGCACATTTGCGGCTTTGGCGGAGCTGCAGCAAGGGTGATGCGACTACTGCCGTCTCTCAATTTTATCCGTTTCGTCCTCCGACTCCTCCGCCGACTGTTCCTCTCGCTCCTGCTGCGCCAGCAAAAGCATAGCTCCAACTGCCGGCAGCGCAAACCCAGATGCGAAGGGCTCGAATCGGTCCTGGACGTCGATGAAGGTCCCACGATACCTGGTTCAGGGTTTAGAGGGTATGGAGGGCTTCAGGACGCGGGCCCTGAGAGTGGCGCTGGGGTCTACTCAACCGTTTTGGGAGTCATGCGACAATGAGCCATGGCGAAAACCCCTAAAGCGCGAGGTCAAGCTCATGTTGTTTCTGAAGTTGGTTTCGGCTTCGAATTTGACACTTGCACAATTCAAGCAAGGCCTGTGATGAAATGTCTGACATAGCTACTCTACTCCTAAATTCAGTCCCTACGCTTCCGCGAGATTCCTTTCGTGAAGCCCTCGCCCCCTAATTTTCCAACCTTGTCAAAGCAGGTAGGGTTTGGTACAATGACAATATGCGCGCGGCCCCGCTGGAGGCTCTGCTGCACGTTGCCCGCCCGACCCCGTGTGTCCCCACGACTTTTGCATCCGTTCCCCTACACATGCAGAACTACAGCCTGCTGGGGGGCCGGATGCTACTATAAAGGGTTGCATGGGAGTTCAACCGCGAACTGCGCAGCTCAGCTTGCACGAATGTACAACGAAGATCGAGGGAACACCTAGGTCGCGGGGAGCTGGGAGGCCTCAGAGGCCTGTAAAGTTAGAAAGGCAACGGGACTGGGGCCTTAGAGGCGTCATGTAGGGCTTTTTGACATTGCTTTATCAGTTGAAGGCTGGAAACAAGCTTGGAGCCTCCTTGACCTCCAGGCTGAAGCCCAGCCTAGAGGCCCTAAACCACCTAAGCCCGCAACTCCGCATCAGGCTCTTCGGGCCTTCAAGGTATGGCAGCGGGGTAGCTGGAGGATCGGAGGGTTGTCGACTTGCTGCCAGAGCCAAAACAGCGGGAACCAGCTCAATTCAGGTCAGGATTCTGCCCTAAATCCTATGCCCTATCGTACACCCGAAATCCGGTCAGCAGAAGATTCAGGGATCTAACGTACAGGGGCAGACAAGAATCCCAAGCTGCCTCGAAAGCAGACACCTTGGAAGTCATACATCTCAGAAAGCAGCATGTCGAACCCTAAACCCTAAACCTCTCTTATCCTCTCTTACTATACACATTTAAACCTTAAGGCCTTTGGGGCGAGGGGGTTCACAGGCTCGAGGATCTTTGGGGGTTTTGGTTCCCAGCTCCATGCTGAAAAGTCTCGACTTACCCACAAGTAACCTGCCACGATCCAAGGACTGTAACAACACCAATCCGGCCATGTGCTGAGGATCCCTGAGTTCAAACCCCGCCTTTCGGGTTCAGAGAAAGGTTTTGGGGCTCAGGGCTGCAAACCTCCAGTCTCCTCACGGCTGAGGTAAGGGTCTCAAGAGAAAGGATGTCTCCCGCCCATGCTGCTGCCAACTCCGCACGGTATCGCGGGAACTGATGGAACAACCCGACCCAAGCGCAAAACCTTGCGCAAAACACACTGGAGCAGAGATGGGAGCCCCCGAAGCCACCCTTCGCCCCCGCCCTTATGGGTGGGCGATAATGACTCTTTCTTTTGAGTGCCAGAGTCGAGCGATCACAGGCTGGCATCCCGGGCGGCCATCTCAGCCTCCCACCACTCCTTTTGTCAGGGATGTGTGTACCTATGTTGGTACATCTATAAGGGGGCATGCCGCTCATTTTAGAACGGTTTCGGGTTCAGGGTTTTGAGGTCCAGGGCAAGGGTTTGCAGTGGGCGTCGTGGGCGTGGACTTTGCCAGGGCGGAAGATCACGGAAAAGGCATTTAAGATCGTCTAAGGACTGAAACCGGCTCGACCCGAACCACAACCCTGCAGTCAGAAGCACCCGACAGGCACCCAACACAGCCGCAATCCCAGAAAACCTTGAACCCTGAGAGAAAAACGGTGCAACAACTTGGCGGCTGAATCCGCAAGCAACTCCTGCGAAACTACATGGCAACCGTTGCCAACGCGATACACACACACACACACGCACACACACACACACACACACACATGCGCGCGTGCACAAAAACAAACACACACACACACACACACACACAC